TATGACAATAAAGGACAAAGAGCAAAGAAATTGTCAAAGTTGGAGTACAAGTTACGAAAGCAGAAAGTAAAACAAAAGTCATATTATGACAGATCAGCAAAGCTTCTACCCCCACTGTCATACCAGGACCCAGTAAGGATTCAGGATGATGAGGGATGGAAAACGAAAGCAACTATTCTGCAGGAAGTAGCTCCACGTTCATTTGAAGTGAAAACTGAAGATGGACAAATTCTGAGACGAAATCGTCGCAGTTTGTTGAAAACTCCATTTGAACATGTTGATGAGTCGAGTGAAGATTCTAAGGACTCTCAGATTACTCCTACAACTGAAACGCATTGTGACATGGACAGTATTAAGGATAATACACCACCTGTGTTAAGAAGATCTACCAGAGTGGTAAAGAAACCTGATAGACTGATGATGTAAAAAAAAAAAAAAAAAAAAAAAAAAAAAAAAAAAAAAAAAGGGGGAAAAAGAGAAAAACAGAAAAAAGTTGAAATGTATGTAGTTTGTAATTCATGTTTTTAATGAGTACTAAGTATGATAGGTTAAGTGAATTTTATTATAGCTATGTGATATTATGTGCTATCTGTCTCATACAATGGTTGTTTAATTTTAGAGAGTATTCATGTAACATTCTAACTTTAAAGAAAGGAGGATGTGATGATTGAATGAATTGTTTATGTCCACTAGATGGCAGTCGCGAACATAGGTGATTGCATAAATGTCAAGAATAGGACAACAGAAGTAGTCAGTCATTAGTGAGACACCTGTGTGCAACTTGTATGAGCAAACGAGCCAGAGCGACTTTAATAAAAGCATCTAAGAAGAAGCACAACGTCTGGTTCTTATCAAGCACGAACAGAACAGTTAGTATAGCACTTTAGCATAGCTTTAGCTAAATACTGCATTGGTGTAGCAAATGCAGCATTTTATTCTGCTTAATTCTGTGGTGATATGTTGTTTAGCATAACCACATCAATGTGTATTCAGCTTTAGCATTAGCTAAACAGCATGTTTGTGTAGCACTTTAGCTAATGTGTACGATGAGTGCAGCTAACCTTTTAGTTAGCCTGCTGCAGTTAATTTTATTTCTATACAGGGTTTCTGCCTTCAGGCTTTTTATTTCCTGTTAAATCACAACGAAGCGATGTTTGGGGAACATCGCTGATGTTTTTCCTGGTGCTGCAGTCAATGGGTTTGAACATCATGAAACATAACAAACCGCTGCATTGGAGGAGATTTCCTGGCAGATTCTGCCTCACAGATTCAATGAAAGGTAAAAATGTCAAGGAGTTTCGCTTTGAGCTCCTTTCCCTTAATTAGGAGGGTTCTACTGCTTCTGGAAGCTGAATGAACAGCAGAAATGACAGCTGAGGCCCAGCAGGACGTTTGTTCGTAACACAGAGGCCATAATTGGTCGTTTGTTCCAGCAGGAGAACAAGTGGTGGATCCAAGAGATCATTAGTTGCTTCTGCGCCTCAAATCCAATAAAGTGACCTTCCAGAGGCGACCGGGGGGACAGAGGAGTGGGCCGCCGACCGGCAGAGGGCAGGCTGATCGGGCCGCTGGGGAAGAGCACAGGGGCAATTAAAGGAGGGGGGCAGATCTGAGGCCTGGATCCACTTTAATCAGGTCACCAGGCAGAAAAAAGTCCAACCTGCTGCAGACAGATGATGCGCTCCGGCCTGTACGGCAGGCTGTTTGACCATAAAATCGGCTTCACAACATTCCAAATGTCTGAACGTGGTTTACGACGAGACATATTAGAAAATGAAGATTCTTATTGTTATGAATGGTTCAGCATTATTTCATGGAAATCCAGCAAATTACTGACAGTGTGGCATAAATCAACTATTAAATTATGACGTCACAAAATACATAGGAGACATTAAAATTTTTGTTCTGACTTGTTTAAAGAAAAGCTAAGAATGCTAACTGCCCTCACAGTTAGCAAAAAGGCTAAACTGCTAAATGACAGATTAGCTCTGCCATTAGCGTGTTAGCGGAACGAGGTTGGACATCAAAACATGAAAACAGAACCGCAGAACAAACCAAACAAGATCACTGACGTTTCCTCAGTGAGGTCAGTGCCAATAACATCCCAATAAATCAATATCTTATTATGTCAGCACTTAGTGGATGTGTCGCCATCACTGGGTGACGGATTGGTCCAGTTTTCCTCCCCAGTTTCCCGTCATCTTGGCGCTCATTGAAGAGATTTGTGTCCGATGCTGAAGGAGAAATCTCCCTTCAATTAGCAGAGCGGCGCAGCAGCAGATCACAATTAGCTCTCAAACGATTCTTTGATGAGGGAGACGGAGCGAGGCGGATTAGGGAGGAAAGCAGATGGCTGTGAAGAGGAGAGGAGGAGAGAGGAAGAGGAGGCCCAGACATTAAAGGTTACAAAAGCAGGCAGGAGGAAGAGAGATGTGAACGATGCTTCAGAAGCAACCAGAACGTTGCTGGTAGATTTGACTTTCAAATCGCTGCCTGAACCGTCGTGATGTTCAAAAGTCAGACACAGAAAGTAATTGTGTTTCAGTGAGGAGCCGTGGCGGGGGCTGGGCATCTTTAGCATGAAATAATGGAACCTGGAAAATATTTGCAGACATTTCAGATGGGTTGGATTGATTGTGTGCCCTGCAGGCAGCCGCGTCGCTGCGACTCCCTCGTTCTGCTGCGTTTCTGCTCCTCTGCTTTCTGCCACTTTGTCATCAGCTTCCAGGAAATTTAGTGTCTGAAACCGACTCGCTTTCCTCTCGTCTTCATTTCAGAGAGTAAACAGCAGCATCCGCCTGAGGCGCAGACAGGTTACTGCCAGGCAAAATGTTTCTCCACACACAGACTTTAACTAGACACCTGCGGCTGGTCTTCAGAGCTCTCCTCATCTCCACCTCAGTTTGTCACATTATTACGATAACTGTGAACAGGAAGGAAAATAATACATTTCTTCTAATTAAAATGTGAAAGCGGTGGCATGTTTGTGATACTAGAGGTGGCCGAGTCATGCTGTGGGGATGCTTCAAATAGTCAGCCAGAGGTTCAACAGGGTGGTTTAGACCAAACAATGGCCTAGTCAAAGTCCTGAATCCAGTGTGCCCGTTCGACCGAATGAGCCAAGCTTTTAAACTGGGGATTTAATACAGATATCAGCCACACTTTTCAGAATTTTATCTTTAAAGGGCCGGTATCATGTAAACTAAAACGTTTGATCTTTCTTCATGTTTTCCCTCCAGTGTTGCTTTAATCTCCATGGCAACCATTCAGCTGTTAAACGCCTGGGAGGACCTAGCTCCGCCTCCAAGGTGAAGCTCCTCCCCCACTCAGCTCCTTCAGACTAGCCAGCAGTAATTAGCAAACAGCTCATTATAGCAGCTGCTGCTCACAGCAGCACTGGTTGAAACCTTGAAGGGTTAATAGAGGAGCCATGTTAGGACGACTTCCTGGAGGCGGAGCTTCACGAAGAGCAGAAGTTCTTAAAGAGACAGAGGGCCAAATTCAAGAAGCCAAATCAGAAATTAGGATTTGATATAGCATTTTATAACTGAAGGTAACATGGTTGGTTTGTGCTGGAAAACACGACACTGCCCCTTTAAAACATGCTGACATGTTTTTTCCGTCCACCATTATTTATATATTTATGTTTAATTAGTAAATAAAATGCAACATATCCAGCTGAACAGTCAAATGTGAACTCTGACTCACCCTTTCAAGCTTAATAAACTTCAGGTACATTAGAATTATTCACACCTGTTGCTCAGGTATCATAAACTCTGAACAGAGACGATGAGCAGCGTCCGTCTGCTGGGCTCCTGTGAGACGGGATGAAAGGCGGCCTTCATGTTTTCCGCTCAGCTCTGATCTGCTGAAGCATGTCTGCCTTCTCCATGGTGATTGGGATTTTTCTCCTCTTGTTCAATGCAGGTGTGAAATGTTGAGTTAAGAGAAAATCCATTTAGTGTTTGATCGTCAAACCGGATGTTCTCTGCTGGTTTTCACTGAACAAAACAATCCCAAAGCGTCTGCCGACTCATCCAACCTTCAGGGAATTAGGAATCATCCCACCGGTCCGGTTCAGTCCGCTTTCACCCGACTCCAGTCCACTTTTCTATAAAGTCCGGTCCGGTTGGTGAGATGTGAACACTAATCGACCTCTGACCTCTGGTCCTCCAAAGCTCGGTGTGGGTTCGGTTTGAACGCCAAGCGGCCCAGAGACAGGTTCATCTCTTGCTGTATTTAATCAAGTTTAATAATTAAGATAAAAGCTGATTTTGGTGCTTTTCAGTCAAAGTTGCTGAATGAACATGTTTCTACTTATTATATTAAAGTTTGCTTTTAAAACAGCTAACATTTTTACATTGTACGTAAATTATGGTTGTAATAATTTCACCCTGATTACAATTTTTTCTGTTCTGAAAGACCAAATATGTATCATTCTTGAATTATATTTGGGGCAAAATCAGCATATGGGCCACAAATCGACACTTTGATCTTAAGTGATTTTTCTCTGTGCTGATATTTGAATTTATGCCGTTATTCATCAGTTTATGCAGTCGGCGTCCAAACCGCCTCCTGTCTCTTCATGCAGAGATGTGGTTGCTGGTAATGAGCGGAAACTGGACTAAACAGCAGCTGCAGGCGGATTACCTGTCAGACAAACACAAACTGAATGATTGGAGTCGTCTGGGAAGATGCCGGTTTGTAAATGTGGGTGAATTTCAGATGGCCTGCGCTGGCAGCCTCGTCATGCGCCAGGCTGTCTGCAGGCAGCGGTTTGTGTCTTCCAGCGCGCTCAGGCATGCGGCGCAGTCAATAACAGCTGTCAGACTCCAGCAGGAGAGTCGCAGACTGGCTGCCCTTTGTGTTCAGGTCATAAAACCTTCAATAAAATCCACTGGAAGGAAAACAAATCAATAAAAGCCTAATTGTGATGCTATCCCGTCTTGGTACAATCGCCTGCTGGGTTTGACGCGCTGATGACTGAAGCTGCCACTCACCTACTGCCTTCAGGGAGGCGTACTTGTTCAGGTCGGCGTTCTGCTGCTGCTGCTGCTGCTGTTGCTGCTGCTGCTGTTGCTGCTGCTGCTGCTGCTGCTGCTGCTGCTGCTGCTGCTGCTGCTGTTCGTAGGCCTGAGCCATCTGGCTGAGCGCCGGGTAGGGATGCTGCGGGCCAATGCTGGAGCTCGCTGCCACATTGTTGTTCAGCTGGCTGCCTTCTGGACAAACACAGGACAGGACCAGGTTAGCATCAGATTAGTACCAGGTTAGCATCAGATTAGCACCAGGTTAGCATCAGATTAGCACCAGGTTAGCACCATGTTAGCATCAGGATAGGACTAGGTTAGCATCAGATTAGCATCAGGTTAGCATCAGATTAGCACCAGATTAGCACCAGGTTAGCATCAGATTAGCACCAGGTTAGCATCAGATTAGCACCAGGTTAGCATCAGATTGGCACGAGATTAGCACCAGGTTAGCATCAGGATAGGACTAGGTTAGCATCAGATTAGCACCAGGTTAGCATCAGATTAGCATCAGATTAGCACCAGGTTAGCACCAGATTAGCACCAGGTTAGCATCAGGTTAGCACCAGGTTAGCATCAGGTTAGCATCAGATTAGCACCAGGTTAGCATCAGATTAGCACCAGGTTAGCATCAGGTTAGCACAGTTTCTCCACAGATTATTTGTCATGACATAATGATAACGATGAAGAATCACTGAAACAGCAGGCGTAGCAAAGCGCTAAATGCTAATCATGCTAATAACGCTAAAATCACAACAAACTTTTGATACGAATCTGTTGTGTTGGTTTGACATCCTGGTTGTTATTTTGCTAGCAGTAGGATGATGCTAATGTTAGCACTGTCTACCAGCTGTTAGCTCTTCAGGATGGAACTGTGTGTTTTGAATAATATTGTTGCATAAACTGCTATGCGTCTGTTTAGAGATTGAAGGTCAAAGTTCAAAGGTTAGTTCATGTCATACTAATGGATTCTTAAATGAGCTGAAACTTTTAACATCTTTAGATAAGAAACAGGATTTAATATTTGCCTCAGTTTAATATAATTACCATAATTCAATATAATTTCTCATAAAAATGTATTTAAACAGAAAGTTACCGTTAGAACAAAATTCATAAAATAATAATTCCGTTAATTTGGTTTAATGTAGTAATGAAAGAATAAATGTGTGTGAAATGTTTGCATCATAACTGTTTTATTTCTAATGACTGTTATTGTTTTACTGCAGCTGGACGTCTGGATTCATCTGAAAATGTCATATTAATATTAATATTTATGCTGTTTACCATAAAGCTGCTGGTCACTTTGCTTTCAACTATTCAACATGTTTAACAAGTATTACTCTGAAATACTTGTACACGTCGTCATCAGCAGCCAGAGGAGCCTGTTCAGTGACAGACTGCTGCTTCCCAAGTGCCGGACCAATAGATTCAAGAACTCCTTTGTCCCCCACGCCTTCAGACTGTACAACTCCTCACTGGGGGGTCGGAGGTGACACAGGACAGAGGGAAGAAGGAGTAGTTTTTCTACAAATGTGAACTCCATATTTATCAGGCCAAACCATGCAGTGCAATACCATATCACTGGTCAATCTATCCACCAAATTGCTATAATTTCCTTTTGTGTTGTATTTATATTCTTATTACATTTACTGTGTATTGTATTTAATTTGTATTTTTTTGTATTCTTTTGCATATGCTCACTGTGTGCCACTTTTCTGCCTGTGAGCTGCTGGTAACTATAATTTTCTGAGGGAGTCTTCCCAAGGGATCAATAAAGTCAAGTCTAAGTCTAAGTCTCTCTGTAATTAGATCAGACCTGAGAAGATGCACGGCGGCTGAAAGGACGGAGGAACGATTCATTCCTCTCACAGAATGAATCGTTCGTTCGTTGGTTCAGAACAGATCGATGAGGGTTTCTGTTTCTGCTAAATTCATTTCAGAAACATTTTATGAACTCAAGCAGGTCTGAATGTTTCCAGTCGTTTTAGTTTTTACTGACAGATAAAACGGTGATTTGAAAACATCTTGTTGATCAGGTTAATTATGGTTTAATCTGAAACATGATCAGGTCATGATATGCATCATCTTCTCCTCCATGAAGGCTCAATAATCAATGATCAATAAATTCATTAATAAACTGAAGCCAACTCAATAGTTTCCATTTGCATCATTTATCGTTTTTCTCTTTCTACCAAAAACTGGATGATAAAAGTTTTGGTCTCAGTTTGGATCATTTTGTTTATGGATATTAAAATGTTTTCCATTTCCAGTGTTAAAAGTTCATCAGAATTTAAAGTTTATTGATATCTGATAGTAAGTTCTTGCATTATTTTGCCATTATTTGAACATGGTGAAACCAATATTATGGGATAACTTGTGGAAACATCAGTTGCTGACGGTTTGCTGGTTCTGCGGCGGTTCGGCTCTCAGTGATCAGAGGAGAATCGGTTTCTTTCTGCGGAGCCGGGATCTCCAGGGATCTGAAGGAGCTGCGACACAAAAGCCGCTTGTGTCGCCTCTAATTAAACAATTATTCCTGGCAGCAGCTCCAGTCACACCAAACACCCACGGAGAGGAAAACCGGAGGAAAAGCTTCCAGATCCAATTCATGCGAGATCCCAACTGTGCCTGGTGTCAGGAGGATGAAACGGTTTGTTTAATGAGTCCTGATCCACCCAGAGCATCGGAGGTACGGAGACAAATTTGGCCCAATAATATCACAAGCAAATGTTTCAGACATTTAAATGAGGAAAAATGCATTTCAAAAATGGACCTTTGAAAATCGTGTTAGAATTTACAGTAGAGCTGTTAATGCAGATCCGTTATTTTATTCTTTCTTATTTTCAGATCTATTTTGTTTTATTTTCTTAAATTTTTTCAAAGATATTTTCAGATTTTAAATTTGTTTCACTTTTAAAGTATTTTTTACCGACCGAGTTCTACGAGGGCGGGACTTCCTGGGTCGCAGGAAGTGACATCTTTGTTTGTCTGAAACGTCTCCTTCACCATTTCCTGAATTATAATTATAAGATGTTCTCTTGTCTTTGTCATTTTGAAGAGCAGCTACCAGAAATGTGTTGCATTAACTTGATTCCCCGGAGGAACAGATGGATGACTAAAAGAAGTTCCTCCGCTCTCAGATCAGCTGAAAGGTCAATTAAGAAATGATCTGGGATTAATTAGGTGTGAATTTTTGTGAATAATTTGGGTGTAATTCATTATTTCTTAACATGATGCCATAAAAAAGCCCAGAGCATCACAGATCCTCCACTGTGCTCAACAATGCTTTTTGTTTAAAGTTTGATCTGAAACATTTAAGAGGGACAAAAGCAAGAAATCACCTGATGGATGAGACTTTTACAACTGTTAGCAATTTATGAAAATATTCAGTTATAATAAAAACAGCAGATAGATACTTAGTAAACAGGAACAAAACAGTGAGACACAGGAATTAATCTGGAGATGGTTCATAATCCAGATTAGAGCCGAACCAAAATATGAACTTCCTTCCAAACAGATTAATAAAGTTTCCTGTCCAATCAGAAAGCAGGAGTCGGTTACCGGGTAGAAAATGTTTAACGTCCTTCCTGCAGTTCGTTTCTGACGCCAGACTTTGTGGCTGAGTGATTCAGCGTCACCCCTCCCCCACATGTTCCTGCACCCTGCCTGAAAATGACTGAAGGTCTCCAGCATGTTTACAGAGCCTGTTGCTAAGGCAGCGCTGCTTGAACGGCAGCAGGAGGCCAGGTCAGTGCGAACTAAATATTCTGAAAACATAATTTAACTGAGTTTTTGTGATGAATCTCCTGCTGAATTCCCAATAATGTGTATTTTAATCAAATCCCTCCAGATGATTTGTGCTGCAGGTTTGGTCTGAAGGGACAGATTGGCTGAGCCGTTCTGCAGCGCCGCAAACAGGAAGAGACCATCATCCGCTCAGAAAATCACTCAACGATCACAGGAGTGACAAAATGAGGAGCGATGAGTTGGAGCCGCCTCAGCTGATGCAGTTTGGAGAATTTAAATGAGGAAGGATTGAAATGCAGAACCAGAACGCCGAGTTCTGAAAAATATCCGACTGCAGCTGAAACAAAACGAGACGCAGCAGGAAATATCTGACTTGGAAAAACTATTTCTATGACTTTTGCAGTCGGTACACAGTAACAAATCAATGACTTCCTGCTGCCACTGTTGGGGATATGAGACATGAAACTTGATCACTAAACGTTTATCAGCTGAGGTCAATAATTCAAATAATACTCTCGTCTAAATACTCACAGCGAACAACACCGGCAGAAAAATCACATTTACCACAGTACTGGTTCTGGTTCTGGTTCTGTTGGACCTCAGAGTCGATCATGACAGGTTACTGAACCGACCGGAGAGTTGGGTTGGACTCTCCGGTTCAGATCCCAACTGGTTCCAGTCAGGAACCAGTTGGGATTTCTTTGTTTCAATAGGAAACTTCTCATCAAGAGGTCAGAGGTCATGTGTGGGATTCCTCAAGGTTCAAGGACTCCTTTATTCTACATCCACATCCTCCCATTGGCTCAGTCCAGAACCTGCTCCCGGTCCAGAACCTGCCGGTCCAGAACCTGCTCCCGGTCCAGAACCTGCCGGTCCAGAACCTGCTCCCGGTCCAGAACCTGCCGGTCCAGAACCTGCTGCTTTCTGGAGAAAAGATATGTTGAAGTATTTCTAGTCTTACTCAGTTTAGGTTTTGGGTCTCTGCTCATCTCTGGTCAAATCTTAGTAATTATTCAGTATTAACATGTTATTATAGGGGCCCCAAATAAAAGTCCACTTAGGGCCCCTAAAATGCTTGGACCAGCCCTGCAGCTGGACTCCAGATTTGCAACAAGCAAAGTGAGACGTTTCCTGCTGAATAAGTGGCTTTCTGGAGCCAAACGTTGCTGCGCGCTGAGACTCATCTAAAAAAACATCAATTATTTCACAGCGAAGCTGCGAATGGAAACTTCTGCTCCGCCGTCTGAAGCCGTTCAGCAGCAGCTATTTAAAATACTCATTGTTGAGCGCGGATGTAATCCTGTTCAGTAATCCTGTAAAGGCCTTTCACTCTGACAATGGGAGCGGATCCCAGGATCCCTGATTCGTTCAATCAGAGTTGGAGCTGCAGGCTGTCCGCTGCTCATGGACTCCCTGCTGTTCAGCAGGTGGAAATAAAAACTCAA